CCTGTAAGAGCTGCTCCATTTATTCCTCCAATTCTTTCAGTTAATACACAGGATCTTGTTATTAGCCAGTGTCAGACACACTTCAGCATGGATTAGAAACTGGCTACAAGTTAACTCTGGAGGACCATTGTAGAGAATGCCAACGGTTTTATGTTGTCACATGCAGTTTATTAATTTTTTAGTGTCTATGTCACCACATTCAGAGTTGTTTTTACTCTGATTTTTATAGCTAATACACTTACAAGTTAGGAACAGAATTTTTCCCAGGTTTGACTTTCCCTTTTCAAAGCAGGGTGAAAAAATAGAAGAATTATACCAAAACTTGTAATAAGAAAATCATATTGAAAAAGGGTGGAACTAAATTTGCCAAGTTGTCAGAAATATTTTAAAGACTAACTTTCCTAAATCTGTTACACACAAACCTTTTTCCTAGTCTCCCTTTTTCCAGCACACCTCTCTTCCCTTGCTTCCCCACATCTCCTGCCAAGTCACAGATAGTATACATTATCAGACAGTATATATTAGAGTATATAGCAGATAGTATATATGAAATCTCATGCTTCTAAGTAAAAAAATTCTTTGAAAGCAGCCTTGTACATTACAGGCATTTTTGCCTGAGCCATAGCAATGACTAAGCAATGGGAAAAACCTACATTCAACTATACTGTAAAGGAAAACGTGGGTGGGGGAACTGGACTTTCAGTGTCAAAGTCATTCAGCATTTGAGTGGCATTGTTGCAAAGAGGAAAGACGACTCAGGCTCGCGGGCTTGGAATGGGAGGTTTTTCAGATTTCCACTCTGCAGGCATCCTTCCGGGGCTGGGCAGGCATCGGTGCAAGACAAGAGTGTCATTATTTGACTCAGCATGTTCCTAAGCCACAAAAGCAAAGTGACATAAGTAAAAAGCATATTGCTCACTCTTATCTGGTAGGAGGGATATCAAGGAGTTTTCTCCACTGCCTAGACATACAGGAAGTTCTTCGTCTTTGTATTTCACTTTATCTTGTCAGCATGCCTTTCCTCAAGCAATTATTGTGACCTTATATCCTCTACCACAAAACAGACTGCAGAGTTTTAGAGACATGATATGTAACCACCTGCTCCCACATTACCAAATACCTATTGTTTAGCTTCCCATTCTAATCACTCCACAAACTTGAAAACTCATTACTGATATAATGGATTTAATTTAGGAATATCTTGGATACAGCCATCTCACCTCCCATGAATTTGGTGGACATTTGCCTCCACCAAATCAATGAATTATCCTGTTTTACCAGGAAATTAATAAAGTCAGCCAAATTTCTGTGATGCTTCTGTAACAACGCTTCATTTACTGGCCAAACAGTCTCTGGCATTATTGTGCAGCCATTCTTTCACACAGTAGGTTTTAAAGTAAAATATGCAAGGGTCTTCACTGCAATAAACCTTCTGATCTCCTCTAATACAAACTGTACTTTGGAATGCACTGCTGTATAATGTTTGGTTAGAGCCACAAGCACACACACACTACCTGCCATCAGCAGGGCTCCCCACTTGGACTCAGTTTGCAAGTTTGCTAAGTAAACCTAAAAATGAAGGGATAACTACAGCTTTGCTTAAACATGAAACTTGCGATGACACAGACTCCTCAAAACAGTGCTCATGAGGCTCGAGGTTGGTTCAGTAGATTTAAAGCTGCCTTTGCCTGTCATTATATTTCTTTCTTTCCTAAGCAGCAGGATCCCAGGACTGTCCAGTCTAGTAACATGCTAAGCCTTATGATTCTCTCTTTTGTTATTCAGATTTTATCTCCAGAAGCAGCACTGGTTTAAGACCTGGGCGCTGCTTGAGCCCCTTAAGTATCACAAGTTTATGAAAAAAGCTGAAAATTAAAATGGTTGTTAGCTACACAGGTATGATCCTAGTATGGAGTTGTAGGGTCCCATTATATGTAGCCGTAGAGACCAAAACCAGTACCTGGCAGAGACACAGTTATATAGCAAATGATACTATGCACGCTCTCGTCTAACAAATCAAGGACAAATTAAAACGCAAAGCTAGTCTGCAACAGGTAAAGCATTTCTAACTGATAAGGTAAAATATTAACGTTACTGTACCATGTGTCTGTACGATGACAGAAACTTATGCCCTCTACGTTGTCCCTTTAAACCCTCCATTTCTGAAAATACAGACATACTGTACATTAAATGAAGTTCTTGAGTGGTCCTGAAGTTGTCTGATTAATGCAAACAATCTGCAGTGGTATCTTTGCATGAATAACTGCCAACCACATAATAAGCACAGATTTAATAGTCATACTCCACATCATAGTAGAAAGGTTCCAATCTATCAACTAAATAGAGGTGCATAAAATAGAGGCTGCCAGGGCTAGCACAACCACCTACCGTAGGTGGGCTCAAAGGAGCTTCTCAAAAGAATTCACAATATTGATCACTGACAGTAATGTCAGTGGTCTGAAGCAGACATTATGACCAGCCTGCATGTTCATCCAAGTTACTAGACAATGACCTACAGAGAAGATGAAGGGTCAGTTATGGTAAAGAGAACCAGAGCAAAGTACCTTCTTTATATAAATAATACCACTCAGAAATAATCTTTCCATCCTCTTAGCAGCCTCACAGAGGTGTTGGGTAACAGGTAAAAAAAATTTCAAAGCTGCACCTGAATGGGATGGGGGGAAAGGAGGCTAGCAAAAAAAAAAAAAAGGTAAAAAAATGCAGTCACCACATGGTTTCTCAACCAGAGGATGATGCTGATTTACAATAATGATCCTTAGCTATAAATTAACACAACTTCTGAATGAAATCTACTGAGATAGTCCTTACTTCCCAGTCCACATGCACTGCTTATCTAAAATAATTTCAAGACTTTTACATAAAACAAATAAAACACCAAAAGTCACAGTACACTTTCTTCAAGAAATTAAATTTTAGACTATGTGGTAGAAGTTTTTTCTTTTCTTACCTATATCAGTTCTTATTTTTTAGGATCTCTGCTCTATTAGGTGTAATTAGCTAGCCCTTTCACCAGGAGAGGTTTTGTGTGTGCACACATGACAGTATGTGTATCTACACATACACCTGTAAAATCTATTACCTTTAAGCTTTCCATTTCCTGAAAGACTAAAAAATGGCTTAACCACATAAACAACACACAGTGAATAATAATTTATTACAAAAAACAAGCACCATTGTGTATGCCTGACATAGAGCTCTCATCAGCATAAATGCTCATTTTGAAATGAATGACAAATAAGGGATCCCACTGGACTGCTCAGATTTACCCACCAGTCAGAAACATACAGATGCATTTTATACAATGTCAGCATACTACACAGACTAGCATTCTAGACATCAAGCTGAAGTCCAAAGTCTGTGTAGATTTTGTAAAGCATCTCCAAAGCCATCTGAAACCTTTAGACTTCCAGAGGCAAAGATTTAATTTGAAAGTCAACTGAGCATCTTCTTATTCACCACAGTGAAGGTGCCCAAGTGACCTTGAACTGCCTTCTACTAATCCCACACAGGAGCCTTTTAATGGTTAATACTACAGCGATGGTAACCAGCAATATTAATGGCAATATGTAAACTATTTAAAGCTGGTTTTTTTCATCTTGTGATGAAATATCAGGAACAGTGATTTTAAAATCAGCTGATTCCTACAGCTGGCAGTCCAGTAAGTCCCTAGCGCCTGCAGAGAGCCTTGATGAAAACAGTGCAGCTTGTGAGAGTGACATAAACTAGGCTTGGACTGAAGGCAACTAATAAAAAAATGAGTATACTCAACATGAATACCTTTAAACACCTTTGACTTCAGTGGCAGTCATTTAGAAAGAAAGCAAGTCCCTCCCCATTAAAGAACATTCCTTACCAGCATATGCTGAAAAAAAATCCCACTAATGAACATCTTTTTTAATATTAAATAAATTTCCTCCAAAGAAGCATATATCCCTAATTACAACAAGCATTGATGTTGAAGAAAATTATGAGATTCTGACTTATTTCTTAATTCATATCATTCTGCTGGTCTTATTCTGGCTTGATATTTTTTGAAGTATGCACTTTTATTTCCATTTCACATAAAACAAATGCATCTCTCCATCCTCAAGAGAATTCTCAGGTCTCATTATTACATCTCATTGAAAGGGCTGCATTAAATAGCAAAACTAATTTTGAGCCTAGCTGCTGAAAACATAATTCAGTATTTTCAGCTGCCACAAAACATAATTCAATGTTTTTAGCTGCCACAAGCACTGGACCACTGCCAGTGTCCCTTGGGACTCATCAACCAGGATTTAGTCCCTTATCTTCTCCCATATGGGGAACTGGCACAGTAGAGGGGATCCACCTCTCCCAGGGCAACACACCTCCCTTGCAGCTTTCACCCCACTGGACATACACTCTAAGATGCTGCTAAAAACAGACGGTCCTGGTTCTAAGTAAATATAAAGCAACCTTCAGCTGGCTTAAATGTTAAGATGAGTTTTTAGTCACAACTGTTGCAGAAACCAAACTAAGAATGTGAAAGTGGCAGTTTATAGACATTAGGGAAACCAGCTAACAACCAACCCTTGGAGCCACAAAGTAATATTGTCATATTTCTCCAGCATGGTACGTAAGACTTCAGATGGACTGGAGAGACTTGCTGTTGTAAGAAACAGGGAAAAAAAAGGAAAAAAAAAAAGAGCAGAACCTTTATTTACCTAGGTCTGTGATTTCTAAGTACCTATTTTTTACTATGTTCATTTCTTGACTCAAAGCGAAAACGGGAATTTACCTTTTTTCTTTTTTTCCTGTTCAATGTGCAGATGGTGCATATTTTGTTCACTCCACCAATCCCTGCCCCCTACGCACAGACTTGCATACATGCACCTAGCCAGTGGAAAAGAAAAAAGGGTTACTCATTGATCCATTCTACAAAGCTTTCCAAACCGAAATGGGTGGGTTTTACATCTCCAGCAAGGAGCAATATATAGGTAGGTACACAGCATACCTGAGCACAGCTCAAACTGAAGTGTTCATTTTGAATAGCACGACACTGCTCCTGGCACATTTTAAACCAGAACTCACCAGTATGGGAAGGATGATTATTTTATGTATACTTTTCTTGAGTTCCAGCATGGCACTGACTGCAGCTCCATACAAAACAGCAAAATACAAACAGCTTCTGAAGACAATTAAACTGTTAGAAACCTCAGTGAAAGTTAAGGTAAGCAAAGTATTTACCAGAATATTGAAATTATCTACAAGCATTATGTATTGCTTCAAATGTATCTGGTGAGGGATACCCCTTTTAAATGTTAAACTTTTCTAACTTAGATTTGTTTTATTGTAGGATGTTGAACTGCTGCATACACCAGAAAACCCTGTGGTGAGATTGCTTTAACATTTCTCATTATATCATTTTGAATTTGTACTGGTTTATTCCATTGACAAATGGGAGATGCCTTCTTCACATCTCTGACCTAATACTCTTACTGAAAGCTAGACTGAATAAGAAAATACTTTTATCAAAGTTCCTTAGTCCTGGATTTTTAAAGACAGAAGCATTTATATTATGTCAATTACTATTTTGCTATCATGTGTATATTCTAACACACCCACAGATTCAAGTCTGTGTGTATTCCATTTACTTAAGAAATGGTGCTAAGGATTCATACAAGATCCAGGCAAGCAACAATGCTCTTGGGGATGCAGGTTCTGGGAGAGGAAATGCCTCTAGCTGTCATGAGCTCCAGCCACACCCGGCGTATCGTTGAGCTGAAGCCCAGAGGAATCCCTTTCCCCCCCTCTGAAGCCAAGTGCCAAGAATGGCACTGTAAGGCCATATCACATAGCATTTCCTCTCCTACAGAGTCACAGTGCGTTCTCTGAGAGTATTTGTGTGCAAGGGTTGGGTTATCAACAGCAAGATAAAACTGCATTCTACAAGTGTTCTCCTTTGATTACAACTAGTTAAAATTACAAGAGCAAGTCCACATGAATCCATTTTAAATACAGATATAATTTATACGTTATCTAATGCTGATATTTTACATGCTCCAAGGTCAAGAACCTCTTGTATGTAGTATATTACATTAGAGTCACAGAAAGTGTGTGCATACTCAAAAGTGGTAGGATGCAAGATTTACCATGAAATCAAATACTAATAGTATTTAATAATACTAACAACATGAAAGGTAAATGCATCCTGTTTGCTTTTGATTATCTCCAACATGCAACAAAGGTCTAGAGCTAGCTGTGGCTAATCTGATCTTATACTTCTGTTCTCAGCTGTCTTAAATTTACCCATAAGATTTTTGAGCCCTGGTAACTATTTTAGAAAGCAAACAATTTTAATCAACATATAAAAATTATCATTATGCATAAATTTTTGAAAAACACCCAGAGCGCAAAGCTATTTACTCAGGACTGTAAATTCTCTTGCAAAACAACAAGAAGAAAGGAAAAATCTTACCTCCTTTCACACAGATTTTGTTAGCCTCCTCCTAAGCTTACAACTGGGTGCAGTTTACACTTGCCAAAAATATACAGCAGCATGACCAAAACAGATACATTCCTTTTCATTGCTAGAAACAACTGCAGTTGAAGAACCTCATGCACCCTAACTAATTGATGGGTTTTTTTCATTAACACTCACTTGAGGTATCGAAGTGAAAAGGAGGAGATGATTAGCTGTTTTACTGCCACTATCCCTGACACAAAGCAAATACAACTAGTGACTAATTGCTTGGTCTTCCTCAGGAAGGAAGACAACACTTCATTTGCAGCTTAGAGATTTACAGTCTGATTCTAGGAGGTCCCAAGTACCTCCGCTGAAAACTACAGAGAATTCACATATTTAGAGGGTACTCAGTTGATACAGGTTTAATCTCTGATGAAAAACTTAGAAAATGTTAGTGTGCTAATAGTAATTATCACTAGCAACCATAGTTACCAAACTTTTCATCCTACAGGATGAAATTTACATTTACTGAACTATCCAGCTACAAAGATAAAAATTACAGTGTGCCAAAGCTGCATTCAGGGTGATTAGGTGGATTAGGTGCAATCACACCCTAATGAAACCAAATATAATAAAAAGTCTTTCATATAACTGTATTTCAAATATTAAGATATTGCTTCTGTAATAAACACAATTAACCTTTGGCCTTGAATATTCAGTAAGAAGACTATGTTGAAAATTCATTGTTTTATTACTGTTTGTTTTGACTTCTTTGAGGTTCCTGTGAGTGGACAAAGTGGTAGCCCCCAATTCAACCCCATACAATTTCTTTGATACTCAACAATGGAGTATCTTTTTTTTTTTTTTTTTTCACTTAAAAGAAGGGAGACAAAATCGTAGAGGACATCAGCTCAAAAGAAAATACGCTGAGGGTGAAAAATTAGTCTTAAGGCTGAAGAGATTCAAGACTAGAGGGAAAATAAGATCTATTGCTGGTGACTGACACTGCAGCTTATGCTAGCAACAAAACGCTGATTTACATCAAATCAACATCTAACCCCACTGACTGCTAATTCCGGAAGTGAAGCCTTTTCAGGCTAATCTGTAAAGGCAGCCTGAGTCAGACACAGAGTATTGCTGTGAATTGCTTGATGCAAATATTTTACATGTTTGCCTAGCCTCCCTCAGACATTGCCCGTGTTCTATGCTTTTTAAAGCCTCTTCATGAAAGTGCTTAAACCATCACAACATACAAAACCCCAGAACTGTTGGTCAACTGTTGAGAGCTAACTGTTAACTCTGAAAAAAACAACAAACCAGCATATATGAAAAATGCTGGTTTCTCAGCTCATCACGGATGAGACAGAAAATGTTTTCAGTTTCAGCTGGAAAACCGATCTCTTTAAAAAAGAGAGGTTTTTTTTCCAGTAAGCAGGACTAGTTACAGTAAGAAACCTGAAACAAACACAAATGTGTGGTTTTCAAGGAAGATAAAATGTTATGCTCAACCAATATAAAATGCTGCCATTAAAATTTGCTAAAAGCAACATAGATGAACTTTGCCTTGTCCTGGCCAAAGCAACAAACTACAATGGCATCTAATAAACCAGATGAGATTCAGCTTTGGTAGCAGTTGGTATGCAAAACAGGGATGATAGTTTTGGAACCTTTCTAATATGCAAAATCAGCAATTCTAAATGTTTCCTTCTTTGGAAAACAGAAAGCAACTTTTAAATTTGCTTTAGTAAACATTACTTTTCTTTCTCCATTGACTACAGATTAGTTTTGGTGATATTTTCTATAGCTGTGTGCCCATGAAAGAAAAAAGCCACTGGACAGGAAAGGAGAGATTCTGGAGAGCTTGTAGTCTTTCTGTTTAGCATCAGTATAATTAATATGCAGCTGCACTATGAAAGGACTAATGGCAGGACACTTTCATTCCAGATAAGCAGCAGCAACAGAAAATTTGTATCATCAGATTAGACTGCTTATTTTCCAAGTCAGATACAGACAGTGCTGGCTTTCCTTGACTTGGGTTTAATGTGCACCTGAATTTAAAGGAACACAGTAAGACAATTAAAGCCAAGTGCCTGGTTCCTTCTCCTGCCTCTCACCCTCAATGCCTCTTTTCCCTTTAGTAACTAATTTACTTCATCACTTCAATTTCCCATGTTATCAAGTGAGAATATTTCAACTGCATTTGAAAATATGTTGTTCTACGTCAATTCTAATTATTAAGTAGGTAATATTAGAAATGGCACAAAAATTAGGAAGAAAAAAGTATATTCCCATACATAGCACTGAGGAACAGTCCAGAGTGATAATTCCTTTTTTTTTTAAAAAGAAAATATTCATGCCTATGCTTGTGAAAACTTACTACACATAAATACACATGGTTTACTCTTTAGTAGTATCTTCTTTCAATTGCTGCTATGGTTAATATCCAAGTGGATATTTCAGGCATTTAGTTTATGAGGAAATACTTAAGCAATTAGCAAAGAACAGGCAGCGAAAAAGTTAAAGATCTCTCTCAAAAACTAATTTAGAAAAAAGAGAGAGCAGAGATTTATCTCCCCAATCAATGTCCTGGACACTTATTTCTACACATAGACCACAACCTAATGCATGCCAGAAAAAACGCTGCAAATAGTTTTAAAAATATTCTGTCTTTTCCTTATCTAGGATGGATGCATCTTCACAGCTGTGACCTGCTTCCAGAAGGGCACACTGAAATTACAACCAGAAAACAGCCAAGTAAATTCTACATTTATCCAAACCATTAAAATCTTGAAAAGATTTTCCTTCAGTGACCCTGGAAAGGTAAGATTTCCTCACAATGCTCACAATCCTGATCACTGCTCCTTATCTTCCCTAACAGACACCACGTGCAATGGTGGAACTGTAGAGAGTAAACTTGGTAGAAAAAGTTATGTGTCTTTCATTACCTTGGAAATTAAAAATGTTCAATTTTCTGCGCTTCTGGAAGAGGCATTCATACTGATCCTATCAGTCAACTGCACGTATGTACTGGGCAGCCACATGATGTGCCAGACAAAAGGACAGGGATTACTGCAAAAAATGTGAACAGAAAGTGTCATTATTATATATTTCCCTTTCTGAGCTAGGCTGTGTTTTAGCTTTTCCATTTGTAAAAGGATTTGATTACTGCCTTGATTTTTCATTAAGAAAATTGAAGTATTATTTTTAATTTGATGCACTGTTTAGGAGTGACATGATTCTCTTTATCTTCCAGCCATGCGAGTCTTCATGTGAATCTTATGAGAAAAAAAACCCCAAGGAGTTTTTGACGAGCTTTGCAAAACTAATCAAAAAGGTAATCACAGTTGAATCCTCTTGGGTGCTTTTTGACATTTTGCAAACAAACAGAGGTATCTTACTTTACATTATTTCTGACAATGCATTGTTTTTGCAGTTATTCAAGGATTAACACAGGACACACCAGAGCTGAAGACTACTGAAAATCTACTATTTAAAGCAGACACTATGCTATTTAAGACAACATGAAAAATGTAAATATTTTGTGTTGATACTGTGCTATGCTCTGTATGTGTTGTGCATGAAATCTTCACCCAAAATATTAAGCAGTCTCATTTGGGTAGCCACTCAAATGGCAGATGGTGCTTTGAAAGTGACTCTAGCCTCACTTTGCAGTGAAAATTAAATTGTCATTTCACAAAAATAAGTTCTCTTAGGGTTCTCAACTATCACACACGCTTTTATTTTTGAGTTTTTAGATGCTATCTTAGCTAACTATGGAAAAAATATCCTGCATTAACTGTCTTATAAATACTGGAAAAAACATTTACAAATCACGCTGTATGGCATGGGTCTGACTTATGCCAACCTTGAAGTTAACTGCACAATTTGCCATGGGTTTCAATAGGGAGAAGAGTAACCCACATGCTCTAAGTGGGGATACAAGATTCTGTGGGAAGAAACTCATTTCAGAAGATGGAGTTCCACCTAGATTCCCTCAACGTGATACATACAGCAGAAGCATGACTGGCTGGTATGACCAGTCACTGCAAAACATCCAAGAAATACAGTAATTTATGATTATTCAGTGTGAAGCAGCTCAGATGCATATTGCTCTTTCACAGAAAACAGTATTTTACAGTTGTATTCAAGTACCATAAACACTAGTTCTCTCTACTCAATTCTTCTGAATTAAGTTTTAATTGCAATTTTTTCTTTAAAAACTGTCAAGTTTTTTCTTATGTGAGAACCTGCCTATACAACCTCTGAATCCTGAGCACTGCTGTGGAACTATGGTCAGAGATAGCACTGAAACTTTTAAAAATAAAAGTAAGTACACTTAAAACTAATTTTTAGCAACTTAATTACATGGCAGTGTATTCTGCTTTCAATGATTCTGTACCTCCAGACCTCTTCCAGCTGAGAAGTAATTGTTAATTTAGCCTCAAACAGATATTAGCCCCATATGAGGAAACAAAGCTTGGAAGAGTGTTAAACATTCCGGTAAAGATTAAGCTTTCATCTAATTTTCTCTCTACTTAATAGAAATGTGGTATAGAGAAGAAACTGGAAAATTACATCTAGTGTTATGATAGAAGATTACAAGCTTAGTTACCTCCAAAAATAATGATGTAATATTAAAACTATTTCCACTCTTACCAATGTCAGCCTAAAGAAAAACTGATACAAAAAGCTTTTTCTGCCGCCACATTTTTGTTGTCCTGAAATGTAAACCTCCTCAAAAATATGTCAGAGGAGGAAGGAAGATCCTCACGGCAACAACAAACCAAGTTTCCACAGTGAACTTGCCTTGTTTCTGGTGATGACCATTTTGATTTAGATCTTTTTTTTCCTTTTTCTTTCCTGCTTCAAAACCTGCTTCTCTTCTGAGTAATGTTCTCCCTCATACCTCAATGTTTACACATTACTGCATGAGAATTAATACTCGAAATATGAGCTACCACCCATTTGTAAGTAATCAGGTTTAAATGATGTTCAACACCTTTTATCCTTGTTTTTCTGACTTTGCTACCCATTAGGTCACTTAATCACCAATTGGTAAGCAATATGCAAAGCTGCTGCTGTGACTGCAATGGATTTTAAAATTAGAGAAGTAGAACAAGTCAGGGTAAAACTTAAATTTCAGATTTGGATAAAAACAACTGGCAAACATTAAAGCAAGTCCTGCAACTGCAGAGTACCTGCTGATGTTTCCACAATGTTATATTTAAATCTGTATGAGGGTGTTGACTGAATGCCTTTATCATGAACTAAGCGCTTATTTTGGTGAGTCCCAGGTAACCAACCTATAAATCAGAACTTTGCATTCACTTCTAAGGAATCCTTGCATGTGCAGAGTTTTGGGGAAAGAGCTTTATTTTTGTGCAAAGAATGTAGAATGGTTTTGGATTTTTTTGAATTCGTAAATGTCTTTTCCAGTAATTTGCTAAGTGCTTTCCAAACAATATTCTAAAAGAGCCTATTAAAATTCTTGTTGTGCAGATGAAATGTGATTAGCATGCCCTAATGAAGAGAATATTGTACATTAGATATTTATTAATAGTCACTGTATAGCATCAAAAAGCAACTTTTATACTTGGGATGCCTATTTTGTGACAAGAAGGCGATTACCTACCAGAACGTCATAAGCTAACTGGTTACTCCTGCCTACACTGCAACAGGCAGCATGTAATACAGTAAATAATGTAGCTATTTCTTTTTAGTGCCTTGCTCCACCATTTTTGAACTATGGATCTTATCACAGCAAGCACAGTGCTAAAGGTTTTTTGTTGTTTGGTTTGGGGTTTTTTTGTTGTTTCAAACCTATTGTACTCACTGAGTACAATACCTGCAGAATAACTTAATTCAAAATGCTCCTTCAAAGGATTCAAAAAACTAGTGAGAAACTGTAACAAATGTAACTTAGAGGGCTACCTGTACTAAGATCTTGCACTGTATTTATTGGACAATCCAGTCCAGGTATGTATGGAAAATAATTAATCACAAAGTGATCTCATCTGATTTTAGTTAACACCAGACTTCTGGGCAGCGTCAGCAGAAACAGTGGGCAACTTTGTACACTTTCGACTTACATGAGGCTGAGGCCTCCTGCTAACTCTGATTTATCAGCGTAATGAAAGGTTGAGTGTGTTCATTCAGGGTGTGCTATTTGAATCTCAAATCAAGAACAGGAAAACAGTGAAGGAAAGACCAGTTTTCGAGAAGATATCTTGTTCACTGACGCTGTTCTCAAGAGGGAAAAAAAAAAGATTTCCAGGAGGAACATGTCGCCCTTGCATGGACTACTTATTGCAATGCCGGATGTTACACAATCTTGATTTAATTTTATTTGTAAGATGAACTCTCTCTGTACTAACTGCACTCTGTTCATCAACAATGTGTGTTTCATGCACTGATTACAGAGAGTAAGCCGTAAGAGCCTATTACCTCCCAAGGAGGTTTTTCAATTTATTTATGATTTTGGTCATAAGTGCCCTTTGGAGGCACTTCAGGATGTGTTTTAGCATGATATATACAATTCTGTATAATATCTACTTTTCCTGAGAAGATTATTTTTTATACCAACTCATCTAATTTAATTATTTATTACATTTCTGTGAACGGAATGTTCATACTAAGGATTATGTGGTCTGATTTATTTATATGCCTCTGATATTAAAGAATTTTAGTTAATACAATTCTCTCTTGTTCTTTTTGTTCTGACCATTCCTACTCTGACAGCAGCCCGTAAATGTCACAGTAAATTTTATTACCCCATGCTGCCATAGGTTTGCTAGATCAGATCAGGGACATAGTATACAAAGTTTATCTCCCCCTGTTCTTATATAACTGTTAAGAAGGGGTCATTAATTTTTTATCGTGCCCATCTTATTTGAAAATCTTTTTTAAAACTGGCTTTTGTGGCTTAATAAATTCCTTCTGGCAAACTCCCAGCATGTTTGAGCACATCACCTAGATTTCTTTAGACTGACATGAACAAAAAATTGATTAGCTTCATGTTTTGAGTCTATACAGAAAAATGTCAAAGACCTGAAAACTTAACTCTAGAAGCAAGAGTTATTCAGTCTGTTTTTCACTGTTCTCTCTCATCTTACCTTTCTCTTGCTTTGAAATGTCAACCTTTTTTTGTATCCCAGTTTGACAGGATGTGTTGAAGTTACATTTTATCTTTTATAAAAATGCCTTTTCCCTAAAACGTAAGAAAAATGGACTCTGTGCCAACAAATGATCACAATGCTCTATATAAGACTGGACAGTATTAGCTATTTCTGCCCTTTTAATTTGTTCAGAAAACACTGACCAAACTCTATCCCCTTCCATTTTGTCACCTGTCATCACATATCTGCATTTGTTGGGCCTGATATTCTTAATGAAAAAAAAAAAAATCCTTAGAAAAGTAACACTGGATATTGCAGGCATAAAATGCTCCTATGTCCAGGACAGAGGACAACCTGCAGGACAACACTGTTATGATCCCTCTCCTAGAAGTCAGTAACTTCTGCTCTCCTCAGCAGGCATTTTCCTCTTGAAAAACAGCCAACAAACTTAACTCCCAACTCGATGTACTAGTTGCCTCCTGTTTGCTCCCAAATACTTCAGTGGTGGCAGACATCTGAATTTGCAGCCTAGATCACCCTGTAAAAGTGTTTGGAGAAAAGAGTAAAAGGATAGGGTCTAATCCAAGCAACCCCTCCTCTATCTTTGCACACAAGAAACCGGGGGGAGTCAGGTATGCTGGGATTCACGGCTAGTCAATTCTGAGCCATGTGTCCACTCACTGAAGAGACACAGACATACCCAGTAACGAGTCACCCTACTCCAAACTAGGCATGTAATACTGGTCATCGGAAAAAAGCAGAGACTACTTCTCACTAAGTACAGATTTGATGACATTGCTAGGTATGATGACCCTTACTTAAACTACATAGGATTTAGATGCAAGCCAAAGGTTCAGAATACTTCTAGCTTCTCTTTTCTAGTATAATATATTTAATTTTGTACATACACACTGCTTTTTTTTACTTGGATCTTTCAGTATTTTTACCTACAGCTAGAATCACAAGAGAAAATACAGAAAATATTTAAAGTAGACATTGATTTTAAAATGTAAGGAATCTGATCAAAATAAATACAGATTAAATACGTAAGTATGGTCTCAGAAATATCATTAAAGACTGATCACAGTGTCTGTGCTGCGGACAACTGACAGTTCACTGTAGGAAGCAAACAGATCTTGAAGTCCTGTGGCCAGGCTACTTTGTCTTCCTAAGTAATTGGTTCATTGTGTAACTCTAATTATAATGCTACAGACCTCCCAAAACCTGAAACAGATCAGAACCTTTAACAAAAGTGCTTTAGACTTCTCATACATTCAGAAGTATTTGAACTGTAGCACAGCATACATTGGATATCTGCTGGTGCAATAGAGAACAAAAAAGCCTCTGAACACAAAGACAATTGTGTTAACACTAGAATAAGTCAGCTATTTAAGTCTGGTTAGATGTCTAGGCACAATTTTGTCCAAACTGACCTTTATATCTGTATAGATGCAAAAACTGCCTTTCAGAGCTAGAACATCTCAAATACGTTGGTTTGTACTGCCCAGAAATGCTATGCTACTTCTTTCAATAAGCTTTTTCTTACACCTCCTGCAATTGTCCCAACAGCTTTG